TTCCATTCCAGGCAAGACTCTTTTCGTGGGGACGTCCCATCTTATGAGAGTTTGCCTCAATTTGCAGGACCCCGAGTGACTCAATTAAATGCGCTTGCCAAGCACCCACTCGACATCATCAGCCTTCTGCTCGTCCTCCGTCCACAGCGGCACTTGGTGGTGTGCAGCAGTCGATCCCTGCGGCTCTCGAGCGCGTTGTATTGTGGTCGGATATTTCGGGGCGATTGCGGTCGAATCTAAAGAGGTTGGGCCTGTAGGTGTTGCTTCTACCACTTTTTCTGAACTAGAGACGGTTGTTACTGGGCAATCGCTTTATCCCTCGAGCTTGAAGTTATATGGAACCGGATTCTATGCGTTTCGACAGCGATGAAGTTTTATTTTGTCGCGATGGTTGAGGCCTCAGCTTGAAGCTCCTGTTGGTGCTGGCATCGACAGCAATATTGACCTTAAAGTTGCTACCAGCGGACAAGTTGACCAACCACACTCCCCCCTTTTTCTTGTTCTCGTCGGACTTGGCGTAGGAGCTCTTACCCCTCCAAAGAAAATGCATCGGACGACTCGGGGTTTCGGGGATCGAGGTGCAACAGGGACATGAATTGCGAGGGAGAGAGACGATGAGCCTTCGGATAGGTCGCATTTAGATATAGAAGCTCACGAATTGACGCCCAGTGCCGCCGAGGTCGGCTTCAATATTGTCTGGTGCGACTCGAGCACTGCCGAATACTCAGGCAATGGATCCACGAGAACGTGAGTAATGAATTCAAGATGAGGAGACTCGTGAAGCGTGCCTTGACTGAGCATTGCAGTGTGCACCAATGACACAAAGTCGAAGTCACCAAATGAACAATTTCTACTAAATTTCGCTCCAATTTTGAGGTTATGCTGGACGATGAAGATGTCGAGTATTCGTAAGGAAACTGCAGCCGCTACGGTGCGATTCAGCCGCGTTTTGAGCCCAGAGTGGAAGCCTTCGAGCTGGCTCGTCGACGCTATCCGCATCGTGGTGTGCGCTTCCGTGTAGTCGTTAGTACCTACAAACAAATCTCCATTTCGGATCTGTGTAGCATTGCTTTCGACGCACCCATGCCATATCGCCTCTGAACACGACATATCTCTAGCAGTAACAGCGCCGGTGACGTCGCGAAATTTCTCTTCCATCTCTTGCGGTGGACACAACTTCCTATCCACAGTGTACATGGCACCCATCAACTCCTTCGAAACATGTTTCTTCTTCGTTGTGCTCGCAATCTTTTCTTTGATTCTCATCATGACATGAACTGGGTCCTGCTTGACCTGTACGACGCCTCTAAACACACTTTGCACCATGCCACGTACACTATTCGCATTGTCACTCACTAAATAGATGCCTCCACCTTCATCAGCTTTCACGATTGGCTTTACAGACTAGCTGTCTCCTCATTGTTCGCCGAACGGGTAAGACGACGGCCAACAATTTGCCCTATCTCGCTCTGCACAAGTAGGAGTAGCTTGACATCTAATATACTGCTTCGTTGACCGGGGTCCTCCCCAACTTTAGTCTTCTTGCAAAATCTGGCGGAATGATCCACTCGAAGTACCTTTCGAGCCGACATCTTCTGCATTAACAGCTCACACAACGAGCTGTACATGACCGTGTAGTCCATCCATACTGAAGTTAACACTTTGGTGTCCACTACAGCGTGATTAGCGCAGTAGTCGGTCACGTTAGATGGGGAGGGGGCCCTGTAGTTGGGATTAGACAAACGCAGCCGACGAACACGGTCTGCAAACAGCGTGTGCAACTTGTAGTATGGAGTCTGACGCCGGCGACGAATGTTTCAGATGGCTTTACTCCAACCGGCTGGAGGCATCATTCCGTCGTGAATCATCTCTAGCAAGGCCTTGGAGTAGCCTGATTTAGAGCCGAGAAAACAAGAGAAGTGCACCATAGCCTCAATATTGAGCTGCAAATACTCATGGGAAATAGTTGAAATGCTGGTACACGCGCTGCCGCCACACTGGTACTTAATGTAAAGTAGATCTTGCTTTCCGTCAACATCCTCGACGCGCTAAAGCTATTCCTTCACTCGAGGAGTGCAGGAGCACTCGAAAACGATGCACTGCGGCTTCTGGCCACGACAAACCGACTCGGGAACCCATATCACTACAGGATTGTCGAACATACCGATCGTTCATCCCGGTGGCGACTTTGTTCGGGGTATGCTACCTGCGACGAAAATGCACGTTTGGCGAGACCTTCTTGGAGCAAGCGCTTTCTCTCCATCGAGTCAGCGTTTAGAGGTTTTGATCGGAGATGTCGGTAAGCTTACCAGAGATCCGACACACGTTCTACATTCGTGCAACAATGCCCTTGCAGACATGTATACAGACACAAAATACCAGCAGATTAACGTTTTACTCGTGGCTCATCCGAAGACTTGTGTTTTGCCTGCGCTCGTTCTCTGGTTTCCTGTTTGTGTCAGTTTTTTTTACACACTAGATTGTGGTAGATTGTATAAACTGAGTACAAACTGTCAAAAGGGCTCCAACACAATTCTGATGGGGTCCCACCAAAATGCAAAAGGGGGTCTGGACAAAATTCTGCAGTGCATAAACCACTACACACTGAATCAGTGACTGATGTGCTCCACATAGTATTTGAAAGACAAAAGACGTTGGCGGCGGCGCTCGGCGTGGTGAAGATGCCGCTTTACCGGCTGCCAAGCAACGGAGGCGGTCACTACTGACTACTGGAGAGGTGGCGTCTACGATGAAGACTACCAAGACAACCAATGTGGCAGGGGAGGCCAGAGATGATGAACAAGATCATGGAGATCATGGAGATCATGGAGATCGTGGAGGAGGCCGGAGATGACGGAGGAGACTACACCTTTGCCAGGCCAAGATGGTGCTACTCCACTTCAAACCGGATTTTTTTAAAAAAATGAAAACAAAAATTTGATTACGAAAAAGTAGCACTAAAAAGGAAATTCAAAGTGGCGAAAACGCAGAGCAAAGTGGTCCCCTCAGGCTGAGCTGCAGCTAGGTGCCGTACTGCATGTCTACCATGCGCTCCGCGGCAGCAACGGAATGCTGGCAATGCAGTGTCAACCTGTTAGCAAGGTGCGTGTCGATATATTCCGATGCGGCGTCTCGCCGCGTGTTCCAGTTTCTCCATCCGAGCAGCCGCAACCGTCCCGCGAGGATGCTCCACAACCAGCCCTTTACGGGGCAAGGCAAGGTCGGCCTTGATCTTGGCCTTAAAAGCACTAATACACCCTGTAGCACCAGTTCAAAAGTCGGTTAGTATGCCATTTAAAAAAATATTGTAATACAGTATACTGCGTACCTTGAATGGGGTTACATATTGAAGAGTACGGAGCCAGCCGTACAAGTACCAAGTCGGCTCGTTCAGCGACGTGTGCTTCCGTTTGCTTCCACAAATCGACGTGATGTGGTGGCGGGGATTCCGTTGTGGGCGGCCACAAGCGTCCAGTCACCGCCGACACGGAGGCAGTCGAGGACACGAGCTCTGGCAAATGCGAGGTGCGGGGCTCTGGGCATCTTGGGGTAGGTAGAGGCTTGGCTTGGTTGAGGGCTTGGTAAAAGATTGATAAGAGAGAGCGAGGAATGGCAATGAAGTGCTCGCGCACACGCTCAGGAGGGTTGATCCGCTTTGAACTGCGAATAAACCACTTTGAAGTACGGAGTGCGTTTACTCGACATATTTGTGAAGTGACATAAACTCTAATGTAAAAATTGAGAATAATTTTTAAAAAGGTTTAGTTACTTCACCACTTTGAAGTGGAGTAGCACCATCTTGATCTGGCAAAGGTGTATACAAGGACTGAGGCGATGGATTTGGGGGAGCGATTGTGGTGGTGACCTCATAGGTGCCAGAATCGTCGAGATTGCTACCACAGAGACGCCTGATGAGATACTGCCCAGGAGCTAGCCGCCACAGAGGCTATCGTGGAAGAAACCGGGGGAATACCGAGACGACTAGAGCTTCAAGTCGTAGACACATATCGCAGCATTCATGTTCAATTTATTTAGACTATGGTCACGTTGGAGATAAGCGTAATATTAATAAAGGAAAAAAGAAAATGGAATTCATGTGTTAGAAGCACATGCACAAGTATCTGTAGCGCAGGTATTGAAGAAGACTTCTGCTTCTTTTACCTGGTAAGTTCGCACCACAAAGCATCTCAAATGCTAGTAGTACAAACAACCCGCAGCTGTAGTTGTCCAGTTGAAAACCAAATTCAGATTCGTAAGTACGAAACCGATATCGTGTTCTCGAAGTTGGGAGTAGCGGAATTACAGTCTGCGCAACATCCCGGACGTTGGCCAAATAGGAAGAGCCCATTGGATCGTACACGAGGACCTCAGAGCTCGCAAGCTTTACCATAATACTGCACCAATGAATGCCGTTGCAGTTAGTAGGGAGCAACACTATTTCATTCGACAAACCAAAAAACAATTTGGCGAGCTCGTGGGTGTCAATAGATACTGCGCCTTCAACCACGACCAGCATAGTTGTAGGTTTGATGCAGATTACCTTCGGCCTACTGAACAGTTTCTCGAGCAAGACTTCGAAGGTCGCATCGCTAAAAGAGCCCTTCCCAGCAATCTCAATTAGCCCCATCTACACGCCCCAATTAAAAAAAAGAGGTTAGCTAGCAGTCTCGATAAGACACAGAAATAGTAAGAGTAAAGTGTACCTGGGGTGAAAAAAACAGGGAGGACTTTCAAGCGGGATTCGAGAGTTTGGTCTTTGATAACTCTCAATGTCGATCCACATTGAGAGTAAAGTCAACTTTAGTGATCCACACGAGCGCTTTCTCTAGCGTGTAAATGATTTTCGTGATTTCATGCCACCGCTTCATGGCTGCGACGGTGGGCGGAGTCAATATTCCCACTGTTGCAACCTTCACCACCATACCCAGTTCTCCGACGCCTTCGCATTGTTTGGAGCGAGGATATAGCTTTTTGGCACTGCCTAATGACAGACCAAGGTAAAATTTGTACCAACTTGTTGGGCGATACAATTGCTTCCTTCTACACTTTCCGAAGCTCGTACGCAGTAACCTTCGAAGCTTCCAAAAAGTAGAAAAGCCGAAAGTTCTTGCACAGCAATGCAGCCTTATATGTAGTGTCCTTGGAGAAAGGTGAAACCAACATGCCTACGTGGTACTGATCATAGTCATCACTCTGGATGCCATCGGGGACATCCAGCCCGACCTGTATAGTCTCCTGTGTGGTGTAGTGATTTCTCCGTAGCTGCGGATTATCACCCGTCGACAAAGACGTGACACCGCCCAAGATGTTCAAGCGACGAACCCTCGGTCATGTGATGTACGGAGACGCCAAGGTGCAAGGGACTCGACGGCGTCACTTCCGAACTTTCAGCGAGTATTGAATACGGCCATATGTCACTGAATCCAGGCTATCCTTATTAGTAATAATGGACTGGCCGGATTAGCATTCAGCGGACGATCTACGGTACGAACCCTCAGTGGCGGTTGGGATGAGTTCGCGGAAGACTCAGCGACCTTTGGTAGGCACGTTCACCGTCTGGGACAGGGCGCGGACCGTTAAAGATACTCATGCGACGGTGCAGACGACGCTTGGCGTGCAAGAAGATCCATAACGGATCATTGTTCACTTGATATTTGTATACTTGATTAGGACTTCTTATTAGGAATAGACCCGAAAGGGTAAGCTTAAATACAGAACAGAATTTCCACTCAAGCACACAGAGCGACGTCCGGCTTCAAGGTAAGCGTCTGGTCAAGCTTGTTTGAGTGTGTTATGCCTGTCGGTGAGCTCGAAGCTCTGTAGCGAGGGTTCATCCGGCAAGGCCAAGAGACTTTGTGTATTGGCCGATTACTATCGGGAGGTTTTACGTGACGGCTTATTGTTGCCTATTTGCACGACTGGGAGTGCTTAAATTGCATCCCTTTTATTCTTCCAACCGAGTGTTGAACACTCGATGATCTCGTAAAAGGCTTACCCTTGCCTCGTACCCTTCCGCTGTTGGGACCACGAGGATTCAAAACACCTGCTAGCTTTGCTCGTGCTAGTAGCGTGTTCTTATTTTTACTGGTTGGCCTATATAAGTAGTTTACAAGGTCCAGTTTGTCCCGGTGCAAGGGCAGAACTGGGGTCTTCAGGTCCGCCCGAACGATCGTTTACTATCCTAGTAGACGTATTGTTGTGGGAACGTTCTAACTACATTTGTAGCTAGAGTTCACGTGGGAATTCCAACACCACACCTGTACGTCCTGCATGGCGTCTTATAGACACTGGGAAACGTCTGGCAAGTGCTGACCGCCTATAGTCTTGCCCTGAAAAACATTGATACTTCTTGGGCGTCCTGCGAGGCATCCTGCACGTCCTGGGGCATGTAAAATTCTTCCTGCAACGCGTCCTGGGCGTCCTGGACGTCCTGTGGAGACGCGGATACGTCCTGCAACGCGACCTGGGCGTCCTGGACGTCCTGGGGTGATGAGGATACGTCCTGCGACGCGCCAGGGGGGCTCGGATTGTCCTGGGCGTCCTGCAAATGCTCTGGTACACCGGGAACCACCACCACCTCGTCCGCTGGTCCTGGCTTTGAATATCGCTCGATAAACCGACGGACCCATGTGTTTTGATAGTTGGGATTGGCTATCTCTGCCGTAAATTCTTCAATGTTTCTGCAATAATGCAACATCTCCGAGAAGGTGCCTCTGCCACTTGCACGCATATTATCAAAGTAATCGATAATCCTCTCCTCGTAGGGCTTCATTTTGTACTTCCGCCCCACTCCTTTCCTTCGCTTTCGATGTGAACCGCATTCCTCGTCCAGTCGGTGCCAGTACTGTTCCTTCCAACCTCGGAGGGTGCTATCGTAGACTCCCAGTTCATGAGAGGCGTCACGGAGAGTTAATTCCGGGTGAGATTGCCATTGCCGCAGCAGCTCAAACTTCTCCCGCTCTGTGCGCTGAGTACACACACGCTTCGACATATTCTGCGTCTGTTGAATTGTGACCACTCGTTCTCCAATCCCAATCCTTTCACATTAACTCGCGCGACTTATTGTGAACTGGCAATGGGTTTCACATTAACTCGCGCGACTTATTGTGAACTGGCAGTGGGTTTTGCAATACAGGTTCTGTATTGATAACAAAATAATGAGAATAATAACAGCAACGGTTTAGTCGTATTAGTTCAGCAGGGCTTGCATTTGAAGTGCGCGGGATGATAATGGAGGTCTTCCTACTTGGCGGGGTGACGGCGTACCAAACAAAGTGTCATCTGTACTGCGAGTCCACTCCACAGGTCTATCAGGACCAAACACGTTCTCGGAGTCTTGCTCCATACACGTTGCGGCAAAATCGGTACTTCTCTCGTTTTCAGTTGCTGTCGACATTTAGGAAACAGGGGTGTAGCTGAACTGTTGACTGATTTCGTGATGCAAATTTGGCTGGTTCGGTCCTGGGTGTAGCTGCATCGCAAAGCCGTCTTGTGCAGAACCAGGCACGAAATTTCTATAACTAGTCGAAACATTCGTCAAAGCGAGTGGATATATAAAGCCTGGACTCCATGCATTCAGCCATTCATTGTTTCCATTCCAATTTCCACTGGCGATAACTCGATCGTAAGAGGAGTTGCGGTTTGTTGTGTTGTGTATATGCCCGTAAAAGCCTTGGTCAATTTGCGTCGAGAGTAACATTCGAACACTACCTTCCTCGAAAGACTCTCTATCCAACTCGTGAACATGTCCCAAGTGCTCTTGCCCATGTCGGAACGCACGAAACTGAGCCTCAGTGCCAACGTTGACTCCCAAATTGCTCCGATCCGATACAGAAGCCACAGTGTCACCTTGGCTTTTTCTCAGCTTCTTTCTTGCTCGTCTACACATGAGTTTTTCCCCAAAGCCAACGTTATTTCCAATCCCGAGGACCGATCTAGACACCACTATGTGAGAACATATTCCAAACTTAACGTGCATTGAGCACGCGCATTCGTTCTCCTCAGCATTCACTAGCCATCCATTGGGAGGCATATTTTGTCGATGTGCCCGCCTCGTAGACCATTTCACGCTATCACAATACAGGCGAGAAGCTTTTCGTTTTTGTGACTTGTCTAACAGCAAGGATAGAAACGAGAAATGTTCGGATTCTTGGCCGCAAATAGTAACATTCGCCATTTCCCGCATGGATGCCATGGCTTCTGCATCCATATGCATTTCCGATATATGCATCACACGCACTTGCGCTGCATCACGAGTCCGAAATACCATTACAGCTTTGGCTTTCAACACCCACTTAGCCGTACGTTTGATTTTGGACTTGGGTGCGGCGATAGATGCTGCAGGAGAGGCAACATCACAATTTACATCTTCAGCCAGAGTAATCATACTTCGGATCAACGTGCAAATTTCGGAAGCTTTCCGCTGTACATGACGTTTCACAGTGGCGTTAAATACTTCACAGGGATTGTTTGTCGTAGCGTAACTAGATGGAGAGTGATAAATCTGCCATCTCCAAAAACGGCTTTCAATCCACTGTTCTTCAAAGTAATCTGCAAACGTTTTGAGGCATGGCTCCATTCTCCACTCGGAAATAACGCGATCTTTCACACTGCAGTACTCTGTATAGTTTGTCGTAAAATGCATATCCATAACTCCTGAAAATACGGAAACCATCGGGCCTGTTTCAAGGTGTCTTGTCCGCTTGTGCACGTTATAAAGCACATGAAGAAAACACATCAAGTGTTTGCTTTCGCTAAATACTGTAACGTTTCGCAACGCGTTCAGCTGTGCGTCTTCTGCGTCCCCCATGATAGCATCCACGCGCAGCGAAGCCCCAAATATCCTTTGGTATAGCTTTGCAAAACCTTCAAATGCCAATTCGTACTCTCGGTGAGTTCTAGCACTAACTATCAGGATGGCAGCAAGGAGGTACGTACGCGATCGATCGGTAAATCCACAAGTTATCACTGGGTAGCCCAGGTCAGTGAGCTTAAAATTAGCGTCGGTGTGGAAAAGTCTGAAGTGGTCATCACCACGGAGCTTGTTAACTTTTGTTAGCAAGCTTAGAGTAGTAATCCCCACAACTAAGGGGTCCTCGTCGGTTCCTTTATCAATTCGAGGAAATCCATCGTCTTCAATTTCCGGAGCAAACAGGAAAGCTTTTTCAGCGTCGATTCCGAGGTAGTAAGGATACTCTTTTGCCAGCGACTTCACACTTTGCCGTGTGCTACGCGTCAAACGTAGACGTTTCACGCAATCGGTAATTTGTTGTCGAGACGGCAGCCCCAACGGCGGAGCCGGTATGCCTGGCGCGCGACGAAGACTGCTCCATATATGCCGAAATTGCATACCACAGGCTTCCATTCGAGTTACAAACTCTTTCACTTCTGTGGTTATAGGCACACGATGGGCACCAATGCATGCTTCGTCGCGCAAATGATTTTCGTCGTTCGTGTAGATGTGCCAAGACGAATGAGACGTGCACTCCCATGTTTTCCACTGCACAGCACACTGTGTACCTCCCAGCGCCGCTTCCTTCTTGGCATAGGATGGACTCGTGTATACCATGCGCCGCCCAAGCATTGCATGATTACCAGGGCATCTTTTACAGTTGATCTCACGCTTCGCATACATTGAAGAGCAGCAAAACATCTCGGCTCGGAATTTCGTAAAGCCGTCACTGGATGTATGCTCCGCCAGCTTCCTCCATGCTATTCTCGGCATTGCTGCACTACAAAGAGTATAAGCACCCGGACGTGTAGAATGAGGAATAAACACACACAGAGCAGTGCGGCCACGCAGTACTGGTACTGTGCTATGAATGGTTGGTGTATGGTGCGACTTGTGATTCACTTTAACTCGCAGACATGGACATCTGCGTCATTACATGTACTAATTTACAAATCTATTTTGCTCGAACCCGCAAATCTGTTTGATGACGCACCAAAACGGCACTTTTATTTTGCTCAAGCCTTTTTGGTTTTGCTCGCGCCCCATCTCGTTTTGATTTCACCCCAAAAAGTGTTTGTTGGCACCCCGGTCTCGTACAAACTCAACTGGAACCGGCTCTTTATTTTGTAATACAGGGTAGCTTGTACATGTACTTCATATACCCCTTTATCTCGGATCACAAATCAGGTAAATTTTTAAAAATCAAAGGGGCTGAGAATTCCCAATGCGAATTAACCCTTGCAGATGACTCCTACGCTTATTGAGGGGGACCTCTGTAATCCTTACATTTTTTTTCATAAAAATATCAGAATTCCTCATATTTTCTGTGGAGAATTCTTCGATGTGGCTGTTGAAGCGCGCTACCGTTCAGACGATAGACCTTGTCTATGTGCGCCAATCCTGTCTAATAGAATGGTCGGATGATCTGAACTTCAGTCGCAAGAATCAGTTTTTAATTCTTGCAGAGATTCTAGTAGAATCTCTACCGATTCAGTGAGCGTGTCTCAGCAATTGTAACCTGGGCTACGTCATACATGTTTCTGCCTATGCCAGCACCGGCACAGAATAGATGGCAGCACATGTAGTATATACCAGACACCGTACGGTCTGCACGTGCACAGGACTCCCACCCTTGCCTGTGATTCTAATGCTTATCCCTTCGCTGTCGTCGTTGACAGTCTGCGCTGAGCCACCGTTGATTATAATAGAAATGCCAGCACGCACAATGAGATAGGGGAAGGCTTCGTTAAAACAGGCTGGGCGAAATACTGTAACTAGTATATAGCTGAAAGGTCATCCCTCCTCGATGGCAAAAAGCGCAAGTCCCTCCAAACAGTGACCCGAGCTACAAGGTTTGACCCTGTGACTTGCTTTTTGTAAGTCAATGTCTCTTTTTTGGAACTTAGTGGGTGGGTCCTTGCGTTTGCCGCTCATATCGAGCCTCAAAACTCGATTCCTTCACGTCGACCACAGGTTCGCACACGAAGCGGATTCAGACAGCGGCAGCGTTTGGTTGTCGCCCTCTCCGCTTGGCCCCCTTCCCCGGCGTCCTCGCACCCGGTCTGCATCTCGTCCGCCACAGCTGAAGACCCGCTAAAAAGGTGAGTGCGCCATCCGGCGTTAGGGTTATCGACTTCCTTGGCAAAGTTTTCGCTTTTATTTTTTTGCTGAGACGCCTATTGCCATCGTTTGCCATCGTTTGCCATCGTCTACCAGGCAGGGTGTTTGTTTTTCGCTTGTGCGACGGAGCACGCAAAATTGGAGACAGGAAGCGTCGCAGTAACGGCAACAAAGAGAGCGAAATCTACCGTTTGCCCCATTTTAGACCGACATAGGAGCGTGGCAGTCCGCAACTTTCAAGACCCAAACACTGAGAGACTCAGAAGTATGGTTATGCGTCACGACAGCAGCAAACAACAGGCTCCGGCGCCCATGGTCACTCGCGCGTTCTCCTTCAAAGACGCCGTGGTGCGCTCCCCGCCAAAGTCGGCGGCCCTGCCACTCAAGGACCAACAAGTGCAGCCGCCGTCTAAGGCCAGAAATGACAAAAAGCCACAGCAGACGCTTGGTTCACGCCAAATCCGCTCGCGTAGCATCACCAAGATCGTCGAGAGCTCGAGCTTTAAGAAGCGCTGCGAGGCGCTCAAGGCGCATCCAGGACGCGCGCATCACGACGCAAAGGGTGAAAATGCCATCAGCCCCGTCAGCTCCCCCAGAGCGAATCAAGAGGCAAAGAAGCTCACGCCATTGGAAGAATTGTGCGAACGTGAAAAGTTGCTGCACAACTCGAGCGACAGTTTCAAAGGACGCAAGCGTGTCACTCGGTCGATGTTGAGCTGCTCATCGCCTTCTTCGCTCCCTCTGCGTGACGAAAACTCGTCGTCGGAAAAAGAGGATGGGTCGAGCCAGGCAAGTGGGAGCCTTCGACTGCGTGCAGTGTCAAACGACCGCGTTCTTCTGCGTCGAGCGTCTTTGCCGCTAGGATCTCCGTCGGATTCTGATACGCAAGAGTCGCTCTCGAGTAGCGGATCCTCGTGTGACAGCAGCCCCGTCAAGGCCAAGAGACCGGGGAAGACGAAAGACGGTCGTCCGTCGTCTACGTCCCAAGAATCAATCTGCTCGAACGTGAGGGATTTGTCGCACAATCTGGCAGTTAACTGCGCTACAGGAGGCGGTCGACGCCACTCTGTGAAGGTGTTGGACAGTGACGACGACTTCCTGGACTGCGACGATACCAACAGCGAGTCGACAGCCGAGTCTTCTTGTCCGAGTCCTCGCCACAGTCCTCTTGCTCACCAGCGTAGTGACCTGAACGAGGTGCTCAAAGTTTGTCAGGAACAGGATGAATTGTCGAGTCGAATGCTGTCGAACTGCCAAGAGGAGGACGAGGAAGCGTACATGCTGCTGGACCGGATCAGCAACTTGTCAAACGAGTTTGCGGCCAATCGCGAGTACGAGGAGTCCAACGCCCTGTCTTGGTCTGTACAGCACGCAGTGCAACAGGGCGCGATCTCCACGCAGCTGCAGCAGAATTTGCTCTCGAATATTTGTGAAGGCTACTTGGATGAAGCTCGGGACGTGTTGTATCACAAATGCCACCTGATTCCTGCTGTCGGGAGCGTTGTGGAGAGCCCACTGCAGCCGATTATGGACCCAACAGCCTTGCAGTCGTTTGTGGACTATGTGGACGGCATCTCGCCTACGGACGCCCCTGAAGCGCGCATGCACAAGTTGCAAGTACTGAAACAGCTGTCTGATTTACTTACCAAGTGGGTAAAGAGGGTCGGACGAGAACGCGAGTTGAGTGAAGAGCACATCACGTTGACGAAGGGTTCTCTCTTCCTCGCTGGGTCCTATCGACTCGGTTTGGATGACCCCAACTCGGATATTGACGCGGTGTGTGTGGCACCGTGGCACGTGACTCACGACGACTTCTTCGGTTCGTTCTGTCAGCTACTGGCGCAGACGCCTGGAGTTTCCCACCTTGCGCCTGTGCGAAGTGCCTACGTCCCTCTCATTTCGCTGTCCTTCTTGGGTGTGCGCATGGATTTGCTCTTTTCGCGGCTGCCAATGTCGAGCGTCGAGTCCAATCAGAACATTGATTCCGATCACATGCTGGTTGGTGTGCATGAGACGTCGATGAAGGCTCTGAACGCTCCTCGTGTCAGCTCAATGCTGCTGTGCCTGGTGCCGAGGCGTCGTGAGTATCGGATCGTGCTGCGTGCTGTTCGCGCGTGGGCGCGTCGTCGCGGTATCTACTCGGCCAAACTGGGTTACTTGGGTGGGATTAGCTGGGCGATTCTGGTGGCGTTCGTGTGCCAGCTGTACCCGAACGCAGAGCCTGCAAAAATCTTTGTTCGCTTCTTCCAAGTACTGTCAGAGTGGCAGTGGCCGCAACCTGTAATGCTGAACATGATCTACGACGCTGGGCTAGGATTTGACATGTGGGATCCCCGCCAGAGCGTCTTTGATCGGTCGCACATCATGCCAATCATTACGCCAGCGTATCCCCACATGAATTCCTCCGTCCAAGTTTCGCAGTCCTCGTTCTCTGTGATTTATGAAGAACTGTGGCGCGCGCGGTACCTGGCGGAGATCGCTGTTGGTATTTCCAAGCCTTTTCCGAGGGCTGCTTCGTCGTCACCTGAGAGCTCAGAATGTGATCTAAAGGCAGCAGTGGTTTGTATGGCCACGTCAATGCCCTCGTTCGATCAGCCGTTGAATGCAGCCCAGTCGAGCGAAGACAAGACGGAGGCCGCTCAGGCGCTAGACGAAGCAGGTGCGTGGGACAAGCTCTTTCAGACGTCGAACTTCTTCATCCGGTACAACTCGTACATGGTCTTCAACTTCCAGGCAGACACAGACAGCGCTATGCACAAATGGGGAAAATTTGTACAGTCGCGACTGCGGAAAGTTGGTGGACAATCTTCACCACATGTCGCCTGTGTCGCGAGTGCACGCCTTCCCGTGTTATTTCCCGCACACTTGTGACTCTGAACACAAGGGACCTGGTTCGTGCATGTTCATTGGTATCGAGTTCCACTGCCGTCGACAAGAAACAATTCAGCTGAAAGACGACGCGGAGGTCAAGAAGATGTTGGAGCAGACCATTCGGTTCTTCCTCGCAACAGACTTGCAGCAGATGGAGGACAAGCAGCCAGATATGACTGCTGATGCCAAGGTGATGAGCTGGGCAGAACTGCCTGACTTTGTATTCCAGTCAGGACGTGGCAGTGCCGATCTGGAGCGTGCAAAGTACACGGACGATCTCGAAAAGATGGGCTTCTCACAAAACAACACGCCGTCCTTCCGTCCACCTTACTATGTGAACAGCTACAACCGCAATGGCAAGTGGCGGAGTGGGGGTCCGCGTAAGTATGCGGGAGGCCAACGGAAGCATCGCTGTGACTTCCGAAATGCTCCACGATCATATCCAGGTACACAGGCTGGATGAATGAATAGGTGGACGGCGGGAATTACGCTGCCGAGATGTTGGATCGCTACCGACGTATGTACAGTATACTTCTGGCGCGTGTGCACCGACGAGCGTTTAGTTGCTCTCGAAGATGGGGGGCGGCTTAAGTGTCGCAACGGCGAAGGGACGTGAAACAGCTTGAAGGACAAGGGATCCATCCACCAGTGGCATGCTTTACGGGGCAAACAGAAGGCCATGAAAGCTGGAAGTGGCTTGCGCTTCCAAGGAATTGCTAGATAGAGCATAAAGCAGTATCGTCATCTACCGTCATCATTGTAAATTATGATTTGATGTGGCGTCTCCAAAGCTAAGAAAACTGAGAAAAACGAGATGGAAAAATAAAAAAAGAGAAGAGACAGCTTTACAATTTTTTCTTGAGTGCGTCCTCAAAGTATGATGCAAGATCTGGAGTAATAATCACCTCGGATGACGTTCATCTACACCAATATTGGTATACCGGTAATAACCGCTGCCCAGGGCCCTCTCGCTGCGCACGAAGAGACTTCGACAGAGACTCGAGCGCGCTACTGTTTTAAGTTCCACCCCCTGGGGTCCGAGATTTGCATTCGTTTTGACAGCCTCATTACCTTCATTTACTGCAGATTCAACATCAACTAAAGCATACTATTTGATTAGGCAGTAAAGAATTTATTTTAGTCGCTGAGTCAATTCCTCGAGAAAAATTCTGGCTACAGTAAGCTAGCAAAATCGCTCACATATTATTTCCAGACACAGACATCGACGCAGAAATCAAGGCCAGTAAGACTTCTTAAAATATGTCAGAAATGTCCTGAGTCTATAAGGTAGCGCCAGCTCCTACCTGTACAAATACTGGTAGTTATACAAAACGTGTACCGGTGTATGTACAATTCGTTGCTATACGCTTGCAGAGCTTATCAAGCTGTCGTTGAAGAATATGTGTGCTTGCTTCCTGAACACCTGGGAATGCTCTATCAGCGAAATCAACTCGTTGGGGGGGAAATGACAAAACCTGGGGTGATTCAGAAAATAAAGACAAAAACCACTTATCGTGACAAAGTCTGGGGTGGTTTCGAAATATAGTGCCAGACTTTAAGGTACCGAAAGCACACCAGGATTTGTCATTACAAATCAAAACCTACATAAACAAAGTGTCCGTGTTGGATGGGTCCTCGTTGACGTAGTAATACAAGTTCATGACCATGGGCCGGGAGGAGTGTCGGCGTTGCGTCTGTAGAGGCGCTTGATCAATTCTTGGCTGAGGGATGTCCCGATTTAATCTCTTGTAATAGCGGGCTCGTTCGCGCTCGTTCTTCTTAAGGCGCCGTGCCTACATCTCCGCCGTACCGCTGTCTTACTGCAGGAAAACTTTTTCATCCGGTGTCTCTTCAGCGCGGTTGGTGACGATAGCCTTTTCTTGCAAACCCGGCATACTTTCGTCTTCGCCTTCTTCGCGCGTGCCATCTTGCTGGAGTGAAAACGATTTTGAGGAATTTGGACAGTCCCAAGTTCTCTCTCTCATATTTTTATATTTATTCAAAATATTTTAACTAAACAATATTTATATTGCTTTAAAAAATTACTTTTAATCACTGCATTTTCAGAGCAGAAATCTGCAGAAACATGGAAGAATCTGCAAAATATGGCTTGAAAAAACATTACGCATAAGGATGATAAAACATAATATGGAACACGAATGTATGGTTAAAAAAGCATGAACACGACTATATGGTTAAAAAAATATATCCTAGTTCTAGTTCAACAAATGCTTACATCTAGCTAGGTTTGGGCATGAATATACACCGCTGTAGCCGAGCATGATAGCAAGAATGCTCTAGTCTGCTACAGTGTATCGTGGCACCTTTGGGCTTCACTGGTGTTGGTAAGTGCGACGATTGTGTCCTAGTTCTCCACACTGAGAGCATTTGGTTTGCTTGCTTGATCGCCCAGCTTCGCCTTGACTAGCGATTCGTTTCTTTCGGGGTCTTCCACGCTTTCGTGACGCAATAGGCGGTTGCACTTCTTCGTCAGCTTGAATGTGGTCGTCAAGAACTAACTCGATGTTGCTCGTCGCTGCGTCGCTCGCACGCATGTACGTTTCAACAAGGTAGCACCGATCGAAGAAGTCGAAGATGCGCTCGGGCTGGTCAATGAAAGCGAGCATGGAGTAGATATGCGAGCATGGTATACCGTACTGGTAAAAGAAAGAGCATGTGCATGTTCGCTCCAGTAAATTGACACGCCGACGGACTGGTGGAGAGCCACGCATGTCACGAACAAACCCAGCGTCCTCATTGCTGAGTGATATGTCGTGATAGCGAGCGTTTTCGGCCTGCTCACTCATGAGCTCTTTCGCTTTTGGCGTCACTTTCTTGCCGGCCTCCACCCATTTACGTGCCCGATCAAACCGTTTGAACTTTGTCAGCTTCCACTTTTCCATACAGTACTGGGAAAACAAAGTTGGATTCCGACCTCGAGCGTGAAGAGCCTTGGCGTTCTCCGACTCCACGAAGTTCGTCGTTCTCCATCCGTATAACTTTTTGGACAGAACATTCTGGTGGAGAGCCCAGCGATCGGGTTCAATTTCACTTACGTATTTAGCGATGTCCATAAAAACCGACCGCAAAAGCTGCAATTTTGGACTCGAACTCTGGCTTCGATACTGCACCTTGGACACTCCAAACCCAGTTTTCGACGTATTGCGTCACCTGACCGCGAAACTTGGCCTTCATGTTGCCAATAATGTGCCTAGTACAGTACTAGAGATTAATTCCAAGTGAAGTCGCGGCTGCGATAATTCCGCTCCCACGGTCTGAAAAACCCGGAAGGTATGAAGTATCAACCCCAGCTGCGGCACAGCAACGCATGAACCAAGCGCAGTTCACTTCGTCCTCAGAAGGACAAATAGCGACAGCCAGGATAATGTTCTCAAGGTTTCCATTGCGACCGACGAGAATGAGCATGATATTATCAGCTCCTTTATGCTTCAGAAAGGCACCATCCAACCCAATCACTGATTGGCTAGTCTCACCAAGCAAGTGGACATCAGGGTGAGATAGGAACGCACGCCGAAATCGGTTGTCAGCTGCGTACTCAATGTCAATGTAGGAGGTCGGGTTTCCACGTATGAACAGCACTAATAGGGACTGAACACGCTTGCATCCTTCAGCATAATCGAGCGCTGTATCTTCCATCAAGACGTCTCGGACGCAATACATCATGCGAGTTGGCACGTGAACTCCTTCAAGTTCCTTGACTTTGTCTTGTAGGGAGGGTCCATCAAGTGCACTTTTGGAGTGGACAGCAGCGACAGTGGTAGCCATTGCAGCAACTTGCGCAGCAGTCACCTTGACGGTGCCACTGCAACCCTCGTGAGCAACGTTAAGCGAGCTGATGTGGTATTCGAAGTAGTTTTGTCGCTGCGACTTTATCAGCTGCACGTGGAAAGAGCAATTGGTTTTGCTTGCGCACACGTATAGCGTGTTTTTACCTCCGGACTTGGCTTGACACGTAATTGCGCGTTTGCCCTAAGCTAGTGCAAAATTCTTGATATGGAGCGTTGCTTCTTTGCGCTGGGCGAACTGCATGCCCTTCGCAAGAGAAATAGTTGATCCTGTCTTCACACTGAGTGTCGTCGGTCCAGTACTTGGAACGTCCATACCGGACGTAGTTTCAGGCCGAATTGGCAATGACGACGCTCAGCGCGAAAGTATGAGGACTTCTATCCCAGTCGGCGGTAGAACTCACTGGCATTGAGTATCTGATTGGTACTTTTAAAATCTTATCATACGATTCAAAATCTCATACCTAAAAAAATACACCAGAATTTGTCATTTGTATATTTGCCTGGAAGTCTGGCACTATATTTCGAAACCACCCCAGGCTTTGTCACGATAAGTGGTTTTTGTCTTTATTTTCTGAATCACCCCAGGTTTTGTCATTTTTTTTCTCGTTGGGATCACAGTTCGGCTTTGAACCCTAGCAATGTCACGTTGGCAACGTGACGCCGCTTCATTTAAATACATGTAGATGCATTAACGAAATAGGTTACGGTCTTAATGTAGAGCTGAAAAGAGGATTTTCTATAATAGTACTGAAGATAGGAATAGGCTCTAAGGCCATACAGTATTAATAGCTCAGAACTTATGTTCAAAAAGTAGAAGTGAACAGAATGGTAGGCCCTGAATTCCGTCAATGTCTGATCACCAAAAAAAGGTAATACAGTAGCTTCGATTTGGTCGTATAATTTACATGAGTTGGAGCAAGAAGTATCTGAGCAAAAACACCGGTATGTTATAAAGGTATTACAGTATTAGCTCTTTAAAAAGGCCTTATGTTTGTAACTTAGCGCGCTCTCTGCAGGAAACAAGAACGTGACGTGCAGCTCACAAAACGGGCATTATCCTTCTGTTTTACCTTTTTGTCTTTTTCTCGCGATCCACGGACAGAAAAATGGTTGTCCAGCATTGGTCAACCTCCACTCATTCCTCAAATTTCTTTGCAGCTTCCAGGGCACTGTACAACTAGGAACGCCGCGTTCCGAAGGCATCTCAGTTCATAAAGCATGAAGGTGATCCCGAGCATCATGGCATTTAGTGCCCTCGTCGCTGCCCTGGTCTTCAGCCCCGAGAATGCCCACGCCGCCATCGTGGAAGCCGAGCCCGGTACTGAGCTTTTCGAACAGTTCCGTCCGGTTTACCACTTCGTGGCTCGTGAAAAGTGGATGAACGACCCGTGCGCACCCTACTACGATGAAGACACTGGTTTGTATCACATGTTCTACCTGTCGAACCCGAACTCGACGATCTGGGGCAACATGACGTGGGGTCACGCCGTGTCAAAGGACCAGGTGACCTGGAAGGACTACCCGCATGCTCTTCTGCCATTCCAGGACAAGTGGGACAACCTCGGCGTGTTTTCGGGTTTCGCGATGAACAATGCTATTGACGGCAAGCACACCATCTTCTACACGGGTGTCACCGCCCTACCCATTTCGTGGAAGAAGGAGTACCTCTTTGGTGAACACGTGATGTACGCCACCACCAGCAATGGTGGTTCGACGTGGCACAAGGGCACTAAGCCGCTCATTGAGCTACCGCCCAAGGGCATGAACGTGACCGGCTGGCGTGATCCGATGCCATTCCACTCGCAGTCTTTGGACAAGCACTTCGGCTTCGACGCCACCACCGGAAGCAACTATCTGTTGGTGGCCGGTGGCATCCACAACGCGGGTCCGCGTATCTTCCTCTACCATTCCGAAGACTACTTGGACTGGGAGTACAAGGGGTTTCTGCTCGCACAGGAAAAAAACGTAAAGTTCTCTCGTTACAGCGCCAACTGGGGCTACAACTTTGAGACGACCATTTACCGTGAGATGAAGGATGAGGACGGTGAATTGCACAACGTTATGCTGTTCGCTGCTGAAGGTGAGCCGAACCGGTACCCGATGTGGGCCACTGGTACGTTTGGTGCCGCCGGCAGCGACAGCGGCTCGGGCTCTGATGAAGGTCTATTTACCCCCCTCATGGTCGGCATATCGGACCGCAGCGACTGGTACGCGAACAGCATTTACACGGACAAGCACGGCAAGGACGTGATGATTGGTTGGATCACTGAGGACAACAACTTCGCCGAAGGACAGCCCCAGGGCTGGGACGGTGTCCTGTCGGTCCCTCGTGAGGTTGGTATCGCCATTGTGCGTGATATCTACGATGCAGACGACCACCTGGTCGGCCAGGGCGACTGGATCGTGTCCGACACTAAGAACGTCTCGCTGGCTGACGGCTCGACCGTGGAGAGCAAGACGATCAAGACGTTAAAGGTGCGCCCGCTGAGCGATTTGAAGCTGCTACGTAACCCCGAGACTCTGGAGGAAGTCTACAGTATGGCGTTGAATGGCAGATCGCGGGCGCTGAAGTCCAAGGGCAAGTCGTTCGAGATCAAGGCCCAGGTGGCGAACTTTGAGCGCGGGACGCAGGTGGGTTTCACTGTGCGTCACAGCAAAACGGGCGATGAGGCAACCACAATTGTGTACGACGACAAGAAGAAGATGGTGATCATCGACCGCACCAGCAGCTCCAACGCCGAGTGCGCTGTCTTTGAGGACAACAAGGTGACTCCTGTCGACGACCCGGTGTGGGGCCACTTCTACCTCTACGACGTTTTCGAGTCTGTCTCTGATCTGGATGCTGCTTCGCACTCGGACGCTGGATCTGATGAGGAGGTTGATGAGAATTCAGACTCGGCTGATCAGGCGGACTCGGACTCGGAGGCGGACAGCTCGGAGGCGGACAAGGACACGTACAAGGTTACGCGTGAGAACCTCAACTTCCACCTGTTTGTGGATGTGTCGACGGTGGAGGTGTTCGTGAACAACCGCTTCGCTCTTTCCGCTCGGATCTACCCGTGCGGTGAGGCCTCGAATGGGATCTCGCTGACGGCATCAGGTAAGACCACTTTCGAGAAGGTGCAGGTATGGACCGACCCCAAGCATGCGTGGCCGGCTAAGCGTACGGTGCCTACCAAGCAGGTTCACAAGAAGACTGGGAAGGTCGTTGACGAGTAAATGAGAAAAGGATTCTACAGTACTGTACATGATTCTGATGATCAGAATCATACACGCACTCTAAATATACGTAGCGTATTAATACCACAGTATTGTGCATTTTAATTACGAATTCGGAATAAACCAGTACTACCGATATACCGGTACTTAGTAATACCGGTATGTTCTTGTGTCTTGTCGCAGCTCTTACTGAACCCAAAATGTGAAACTTCAACCCTTGGGCTTAAACTCCGAACCCAAAAATTCTCAGAACCCAGTTCCTGATTGTTAGGGGTTCTGAGTAATTATCAGAACCGTGGTTCTGGTTCGGTTTTTTTTAGGCATGGCTTTTTATCCTATTCACTTAGCCGATGCTCGATTTTAAATAAACGAAGTCGTTTTATTAAATTGAGGTCTTTAAAAAGTACAAATCGATCTAGCTATACAATCTAGCTGATAAATTGAGCTACGGCAGCCAAATCGACCGCTCGGGATCACATTGATATCCTGCAAATCGACCTTTCTATACATTTGAAATGGTATTATTGTGAGTTCTACTTGAAATTTTCATGCGATACAGCCAATCTCGCCGACTTGTAAAAACGCTTGAAATATAAATTACCAAAGCTATAATGAGGTGTCAAACACAGCCTAGTCGGCAACTTGCAGAAGAAGAGCAGCAGCAACATGGCCGACAGCGCGGCCCAAGGCGGTTGTCACGAGTCCTTGCTGCTAGCTTTGGAGCTGATGAATTGTTGAGATTAGATGTCTAGCTTGCAGCTATCCTATCGAAGTTCCTCTGCCTCGATGATCTTATCTCATGATATGCATATGTAGACGAGCTTCAAGCAGTTGTCTGCCTCCTTATCTGGTAGCTCACAGTCATCTCCACGCTGGACCTTGTAAGGGACAATGCGTCGGATGTGCACTGTCTCGGTGTATGGGCCCTTATCAATGACCAGCGTCCCGTTGTTGCGGACGGCAAGAACCGTAAGCGGCCCGTCGTACAGTGTGGTCAACTTGCTGTTGATGTTGCCGTCGCGTTCCAGCAAGACTTGGTTGCCCGACTGATAATTCCACGTGCGTCGTTCCTTGCTCTCTCGTTCGTTGTTTTGGCTTGCTTGCTCTATCTTTCGAGCATGCTGATCTTCCCAGTCGGTCACGTGCTGTATATCAACGATCATGTCACGGCCGAACGTTGCTTGTGCTGGTGAGGCACCTAGCATCGAGTGGAACGAAGATCTTAGCGCAAAAGTGGCGTCATGCAAGAAGTTTACCCAATCGGCCTGGTTCACAATGGACTGAATGCGCATTTTGTCGCCGATCACGCGATGTAGTCGTTCAATGATGCGGTTTGCTTGTGGATTGCGAGTGGTTGTCGGAATTGCCACGATACCGTAGCTCCCAAGAAGTTCAAAGAACTCCTTTTTGAACTCGCCCCCTTGGCCGTAGATCACACGACATGGGCGTGGGTATCTGCACAGCCAGAACCGATCAAACATGTAGGCTGCTTCGTTGTTGGACGGATCGATCACTGAGTGCAGCTCTACCAATCGCGTGGTCGTGTCAATGATCGGGATGGCTCGGAGCTTCTGCTTTCCGTACGGGCCAATCGAGTCGATCGCAACTTCAAACCATGGTCGAGTTATCACAGTCTTCTCCGGCAGTTTGCCGTATTTCACCGTCGGATGCTTGTTTTTGGCGCAACTGAGGCATCCTTGAACATGCCACTCGACGTCGCGCTGGATTTTAGTTAAAGGATTCTGCATCGTCTTCAACATGGCAGTCACACCTGGGTGCAGCAGCCACTCATGGTAAGCGGATAGCGATTGCTCCAGCTCTTCAGGAACAATGATGCTTCCTGTCGTCGAGTTCACGACGAGCTGAACGCCATTAATTTCTTGCGTCTTGGCGTTTTTCAGGGTGGCAGTGCCGACACGCAACTGTGCTCGTGCAATCTCTCTGAGATCGATGTTACTGAGCTGGGGTGGATCCACTGTCGGTGCAGCAACTGCTGCAACAATTGCATCGGGCTGAGGTCTGCTCAGGTCGGAGTCGCGAGGCAGTCGAGAGAAGTGCGTCAGCCACGACGCTGTTCTCTCCCTTCACGTAGTGCAGTTCGGGTCCAAACTATTCGATCTCTATCCTCCAGCGCAGCATGTGGATGCTGTTGTACGTTCCGTACGTCAGATTCAGGTGGTCCGTGTGAATGTGCACTTCGTGTCCGAGAAGCATCGTTCTGTACTCGCGCAGAACCAACATGATGCTCAGGATCTCGGGCTTGTTGGCTGGGTACTTCTTCTGTGCGTCGTTACACTTCTTCGACCAGAAGACTATTGGTCGTCCGTCCTGTGAGATAACAGCACCGAGTTAGTAGCCCGAGGCATCTGTGTGGACATGGAGCGGTTTGCTGTAGTCGGGGAATACACACTCGACTGTCTTCATCATTACTGACTTCATTTGCTTGAATGCGTCTTCGTGCTGGTCAGTCCAGCGGAACGGAGTCGACGTTGACATGAGTGCTGTCAATGGCGACAAGATTGCGGCAACGTCGGGGCCACATGTCTCGATAGTAATTCACCATGCCGATGAATCATCGGAGTCCACGTCGTGTACGCGGTGGTACAATGCTAGAGATGGCCGGAGGCCATCTCTGTGAAGAGGCTGAATTCCTGTCGTGCTTATGCGGTAGCCCAAATAGTCTGTCGGAGTCGTGAAGAGTTTCGACTTCCGCGGGTGAATCGTAAGCCCGAACTCTTCGAAGCGCTCAAACACTTTTCGTAGTATGGTGATGGGCTCCTCAAAACTGTCTGAAAGAATCAACACATCATCCAGATACGCCCACACGCTATCCAGATCTCCTAGCATCATGTTCATGATCGACTGAAATTCATCCGGAGCTGTACTAATTCCCATCGGCAAGCAGCCAAACACGAGCTTTCCCCATGGGAACACAGTGGCCGTGATACAGCGGCTGATTGCTGCGAGCATACGCGCATAGTAACCCATCGGGACGTCGAGTGATGAGACGTACTTTGACTTGCGAAACTGGCGGAGAAGGTTGGCAATCAGCGGCAGTGGGTAGAAGCTCCGAACTAGAAGTCGGCTCAGTCGTCGATAATCACACACTAAACGCACGGATCCATCTTTCTTGGGGATCACAAAAGCTGGGGATGCCCACGCCAATGTGTTGTCAGGGATCAACACTCCAAGCTTGACAAGGCGGTAGATTTCCTTCTTCGTGGCTTCGAGATATGCTTGCGGTATCGGATAGGGTCGGCATGCAAATGATTGGGCGCCAGGTTTCAATGGAATCACGTAAGGCTCGGCCTTTATTTTGCCCAGGCCTCCAGAGCAAACATGCACAAAGGCATTAACCAAATACTCAACTTGTACGCGTTCGTCGGGCGAGAGCATCTCACCGTCGATCATCAAGAGCGGGTCGATTGCTTCAATGGGCTCTGCTACTGCAACCTCTACTGGTGAGGGAGCGTCAGGTTTCTCCGGTGCTTGTGCATGCGGTTGCGGCTTCGTCATTGGAACCAGTCTGAGCTGGAGCCGAGGTTGCAGCAGTTGGTGTGTTCAAGTCCAAGGTCAGACGTACGGTGGCGGCACCAGAGGTAAGCTGTGAAATCGAATTCTTAATGTGATTACCGACTTCGCTGAGTTTGTTATCAATGTGTGTCAGTGTTTGTTCTTGTTGCTGTCTTAGATGCTGCATTAAATCTGGGATAACGTCATTCAAATGATCCGCTTGCGGTGATTTCTCTGCGAGCATTTTGGTTTTCAGTTCAGCTGCGAATGTGTTAAGCTCGCTGCAGCTAAATGGAGGGTGAGCCCATAGTTTATGGGTCGGGTGAAGGTCACGCAGCAGCACCGCGTCCTGTAGGACAACTATACGAAGGTACAGTAGTAGCACCAAGAAGCCCCCAGTTGCTACGTTGGGTGCTGACTGCTGTTTGTATGACGCCATATAGTCATCGACAAAGGGAAATACGCCACACTGAAGCTGCTCAGGAGGAAGAAGAGCTGCCCGCTCTAAGAAAAACGACCTTTTGTCAGGGGGAAATCCTGCTGGTGACCGCATCGCTTCTCGTGGCAAAGCGCTCAGGTAACAGCCCTCCATTGCGGATGCATTCCACCTTCCTAACCGACGAATTTGTGAATCTGTAGCACCTGCTAATTCGGCCATCCTTGCTCCTGAACCACGTGCCGCATGTGTCTTAGCCTTTGTATGCATGCCTAATGCTGTGAATGCCTTTATAGTGGCGTCGTAATGCGATCGGTATGTCATTGATTTTGCTGGATTCTTGTTCGATTTTAGAAGTTTGATGTCGTACCAGTCTTCAGGTGCCAGATAGTTAGGTACCACTTCCATTTGCACACACCAGTGATAAAGCAGGTACAGATCGAGTGCCCCAACTGGGCAAACCTCAACATTGATGTGCCTAATAAACTCACGACGGCCGAACTGGTTTGTTTTCCCCTGCTCCATTATCATGACTACACCTTTGCCCGGCCAAACTCGGATTAAGCGACATGCAAAGTCGGAATATAACCTTGGGTTACGTTTGGTTACTTGTGTTTATTACATTAAATTGCGAAATGTGCAAGCAAGGCCGATTTTGCCGCAAGCCAAGTCGGAGAGAGACGGAGCGCGCCAAACCGAGAGCCGCGCGCGCCAAAATGAATGGACGCTAGGTGGCTTTGTAGCGTGGATCAGCTTCTACGATCACTTTCCAATCGTCTCCTAAGGCCCCAGATGCCCAGTGTCACCTCACACCCCAATGGAGCGCCTGCGAGTGCTCGACGCGTACCGTGCTGGTCGCCCTGACAGGAAGATTGTCGCGGCAAGCAACGGCTTTCCATCGTCGACAGCATACGACTTGGTCAAGCGTGATCGTGCCAATGATGTAAAACGTGGAGGCACACGTGCAAAGTCAACGAAGGTAACAGACGAGGTCGTGGCGATTTTGGAGAGCTACCTGAACGAGAACTGCACGTTCACGTTGAAGACGATG